TCACCTCCCCAGGCCAGCTCTGCTCCCCCTACCTAATTGCTCCTTGTCCCGCCACCCACCTCTGACGCCTGCCTTCTCCACCCCCCCACCCAACCCAGTTTCTCGCGGGTTCCGGCTTCGTCCCAGCGTCCCAGGGGAGGAAACAGTCTCCAGGTGGCTCCTGCCGCATTTAGCGTCCCCCCTCCCGCTCCCTGCCACCTTCCTTACCTTAGAGGGAGAGGGTATGAAATCTGAGTCTTCGGAGCCTCTTGCCCCATTCCACACCCACCTCCTCGGGGCCTTGGGACATCCCTCCTTTCCGCTGCACCCCAACTTCCGGGGGAGCCGGCGCCGGGGTGATGCAGGCAATTGTAAGGAGTATGTGGGGTCGGGCGTCCTCTTCTGGGTAGCGCCGCTGTTTTGGGGAGGGGGCTCTGCGTGATTTCGCGCTCGCACCCCCTTGTCCCACACTCTCACTGCTGTGGTCTCCGGTGCCGCATGGGAAGATCAGGTGTTTTGTGAGCCCAAGAGCCTCCCCAGCCTCTCCCTACTCCCCAGCCTCCTGCCACTGCCACCTCAGGGTCCCCAAAGGCCAGTTTCTGCGAAACTTAGGGAGAACCTTTCACTTTGACCTCTAAAAAAAATCTTTCACGCTGTCCGCATTGAATGATTAACCAGGCTCCTTGCCCGAAACCTGGGAAGGGGGAAGGGTGGGTGCTGCGGGGAACGAGTCCAGCTGGCCTCTGCAAAATACCTCGCTGGGAAGGTGGGCGTGGGGCGCTCGGTGGGCAGTCCGCGGGCGCTGCGGGCGTCGGTCCTGGCGGCTGATCTCGGGCAGGAGGGAGGACCCTTCTGGAGGCCATAAAACCGAGTCACCTTAATTTCCAGATATTTTACACTCAGCTGGGTAGCTCCAGAACCCAGTCTCCCTATCAAGTGGGGGAGGAGCTACTGGGAGACTCTTCACGAGTGTCACAGCGTGAAAGCTCATCTCTGAAAATAATATATACATTTTAAACCTGGGTTGTAGAGGAGGCTCTCTCTCTCCTGCCCTAAACGTGGGGATGGTATATGTCGTTGCTCCTCTACTCCCCCATGGCCTGCCGAACCTCCCCAACTTCGTAGAACGATAGGTTAGATCAGTTATACCACATTCTCCCGACCCTCCCTTGTGGGAGCCTTGCCGTAGATTTCAGATTGTGAAGCCAGTTGGTGAATTATGGGTTCTACTTGTTAAAACAAAATTTTTCCAATGCCTTCTGGAGGTGATGGGATGGTTAACTGAGGTTGCCGACTGAGCCAGAACTGGGTCTAGTAAGGCGGGGACCCTAGCTGATCTCAATCCAAGGGCTCTGCAGCCGTCTCGTGGTTGCAACCCTGTAGGTCTTGACGGCTGACCCAAAGGCTGGGCGGTCACTTCTTCCCATTGTTCTGTTCTCACTTCTGTTTTTGTTTGTTTTGTTTTGAATAGAGGTTGTTAAGCTTGATGGAATTTAGAAGAGTGTTATAAAATCTCTTTGCTCTTAAATCAGATTAGATTTTAAGGCTAGGGAAGTGCAGGAGCCTTATAGAACTACTTGAGTAAACCTTTCCGGATGTCCAGCCTTTACAGATGTCTTTATCTTTAGATCTTCTGTTTGAAATTACTTTTTAAGTTTGGACTACTACTTTTTCACTTGGGAATCTCCCAACAGCAGGGGCTCACTGCTCTTCATTTAGTTTTTGTGTAGTTGGCACATAAGGAGAGTCCTAATTTTCTCTAAAAGTTTAAAGTTCCCATCTTCACTGTTCACTGGTCTAGTTCTCCCCAGCTACTGTTCAGTGACCTTGGGCAAGTTTATCATTCCAACTTTCTTTTCCATGTCTTTTCCACTGCCATTGGGGATGGCAGTGTCTGCTCTACCAGATTGTTTTGGAAGACAAATAGGATGTTTGCCGAACTCCTCGCTCTGCGTTCTGGTGGTTAAGAAGTGGTGCTCATTGTGTAATCAGTACAGAAGTTCCTCTAGTCATCAACTTCCACCTAAACCAAAAACAGCAACCAGTATGGGAACCGTTTAGGTTTGTCTGAGACTGAAACCAACCAGATTTGGCAGATGCGTGTGAAGTTTTTGAAGTCCAAGGAGTAAGGTACTCTTTTGAGGAAAATAAACATAATATGCTTATAAAATTATGAATTGATTTTTTTTCTAGGTTTCTGATGGAGGGCTAAGATGGCTCGTAGTTGTGAAGATTTCCCTGTTTAAAAACACAATTCAGATTTCTCTAATTCTAAGATACTAAAGTTGCTAAAAATAGGAAAGTAGAACTGATAACTCATGGTTGATTTTTCACTGTACAGTTTCTTCAAATGTGTAGCTTTTTTTTTTTTAAAATAAGAGTTACAATAGGAAATGAATGAGAATCCAAAAATTATTAATCATTTTGGTTTGTATGATGCATGTTGGTATAAAGCTAAGATGTTCTTGATAGTAATGTGTGGGGCTTTTTCAGCTGATGCAGGAATAAGAGAAAAGGTGACTCCTTTGTTTCTCAAACTTCGATACTTCAAGTTTTAGTGTTTTCTAGTAATGCTGGGGGGAAATAAAAAACAACACGTAATTTAGGGATGCTGACCCAGGGCTGTGGAAGTGCCTGAAGCACACTTTGTTCTTAACTTGCTGGGTCAGTGCTTTTAATTCTTTCTAACTTGCTTAATAGCCACAATATTTGACTCTATTACATTTGTGGTTTTTTTGACAGTTTTATTGGGCGGTTTGTTAAAGACTTTACAAATTTATAAATGCAAATGGCTACTTTTATAAACATTACAATTCTTGCATCTGGTGTAATATTTGATTATGTAATCAATCTATTGCAACACACCAGTGGTGGTACATAAATTACCAATAGTGAAAAAATCTCATAAAAGGCCTTTTGGTCTTATGCATGCAGATGCTCAGGGAAAACTAAAGTCATTTCAATCAATTGCTTGGCATTTCTGGTGTATACAGAATGTTAACACATGAATTAAACTAGACTGACAGTTTTAAAGTTGGATTTCCTGGTTTGCATAATCTAAAGCACCAGGTAAAGACCATAGCACATACACCCAACAGGTGTGGATGCAGCTGCCCACCTCCCCGCCCCAGGTGGGATAACTGTTACTAAGTACTTGCCAAATATGTCTTCACATTGTAGGATGAATAAATTCTTCTCTCTGGAGAGGCAATTACTGTTTAAATAAGAGGTGTGTGTATGTGCGGGATAAGGCTTTGAGAGAATTGATGTAATGATTTCATCATCACAGGCTGGTGATGAGGTTTTGCTAGTCTGAACAAAGCTTGGGTGGGAAGGAAGGACTTGTTACTTGATGGAGAATTTATGAGAGAATATATGACATAATTACTTTACTGCTGGAAAATTTTATTTGTATGAGTTTTCTATTTTTATAACTCTGAGCTGAGATTTTGCACTCACTTGTGTTGCCCAATGTGAGTTTTATGCTTTTTGCCCATCAGCTTTGTCTTGCCTTAATTTTTGTAACAGAACTCAAACTTCTTTTGAGAGTTAGCATTGTTGATAAAATTATAACATATGTCTTAAAATATTTGGTATAATGTTAGCGTTAGGTATATCCATTGATAACTCTTAAGAAATTTGTTACATATTATTTTCTGTATCTATGAACATTCCCTTAGAGCAGGGTTTTAAATTGTTTTTATTCCGATGTGGCTACAAAGGGGAAATTCCCAGTAGCCAGGAAGTTGATACTTTCTACTTTTCATTCTAGGGCATTTAAAAATAGGTTTATCATTTCAATTCCTTCACTCTGGTGTGGTTAGAATGCATGTTTTTGCTTACCAGAATGTTTTTAAAAACTGATTATCCAAGAGAATCAATTCTAGGTTGTGGCCACGTTCTGTCAGAGTGGTAGTGTGGTGCTTTAGTGGTTAAAAGTATGAACTTGGAGTTGATCAGATGAGGATTTTTTTTAAACTTGTGATATATAGCATACAGTGAAGTGCACTAATATTAAGTGTGCAGCTCATGAACATGTGTCCACTTACAATATCAAGAAGTAAATGTTTTCAGTAGCCCAGAAGGTGCCTGTGCTCCTTTCCAGTCAGTATTCACTTCTAGAGGGAACCATTCTGACTTATATCAACTTAGAAGTGACTCATATCATCTTAGATCGGTTTTGCCTGTTCTTGAACTTAATATAAGTGGAATTACGGAATCATACAATGTGTCGTCTTCTGTGAAACAGACCTGGATTTGAATTTCGTTTTGCCACTTAACTGTGTGACAAGTTATTTAACCTCTCTGAGCTTAAGTCTCCTCATTTGTGAAATGGGGGAGATAAAGCCCTATCTCAAATTTATTAAGAAAATTAAAGTAATAAAACATCGAAAACACTACTGTGTCTGACTTGCAGTTTCCTTGTCCTCCTTTTATTTCTTTAAAAAGATAATAAATAAGCAACTACGCTACTTCATCATAAAGTTATAGAGGTCTTTTATCGAAATTTAGAGGCCAAATCTTAATTCAACACTTCGTTGATGTAGTAGCATTTAGCTTAAATAAGACATTATTTGTTTATAGTTTATCTCATTATTTTAAACTGACATTTCCTCTGTAAGTCATGAAATGATAGTCATTGAAATGTCCCATTCAGAGCTGATCGGTCACCTGTGTGATATGAACTAGTCTGCAGAAGAGTGCAATGATGACAACTAGTTTACACTCTATTATAAATCTCATGCAAGTGCTCTGTAAGTGCTCTGGATGCCCAGAACAACATTTACTGCTTTATGTTTTGTGAAATAATTATTTCAGAAGTGAAAGCACAGGGCCAGTTGTTAATAGCATGCTCTGATAAACCATTTAAAATGTTTTCAACTTTTATAATCTTACTCGATAAGTGGTATTATGTATTCAATGGTCTTGTGTCCCCAGTGTTTTTGTGGTTTTACTGGATACTTTTTAAAGGGCCATTCTTTAAATGTATAACTTAGTAATTTGGCATTCTTTTCAAAAGGTTTTTCCCTTATGTTTATTTAGGGGGAAAAAAATCAAGATAAAGGAAAATAAAATTAATACCACCATCTCTTAACACTAACTACTGTTGGCTTGGTTTGGATCCTTCTAGTTGCTTTTCTCTGCTTCTGTACACTTCTAGAATGGGCTTTTAAAAGACCCACATTGCCAACACATAAGGCAAATTTAAAACAATTATGTGGTTCTGCCTACAGGGCAATGGGCTTTGAAGGCCTAGGTTCAAGTCCATCCTCACTCTGGCCCCTATTTGTGGCTGTACCATTACCAGGAGCAGTGAGCATGCAGTTACCAGAGGCTCCATCAGAGGGACCCCTAGCCAGATTACAGTAGCCCAGAGTGAAAAACCTGTCCTTGGAAACCCCTCTCCCACGGGCCCATACACCACAAGACTTCAAGATGATGTGTAATGAAATGGGAAGTTTGTTCACTTAGCCTGCAATGATTGAGCACTTAGTATATGCCTAGCAGTGTGCTTGGCTCCATGTGTATTCCTAGATGAGTCAGGCACAGTTCTTGCCCTCAAGGAGTTAGCAGTCTGGTGGAAATTCTAACCAGGAACTGGTGAAAGAGTGCTCTAGTGGAGTAAGCAGAAGGCAGCAAGAAAGGCTTCTTGAGGAAGTGATGTTTGGGCTTAGCCTTCATAGGTGAATAAAATTTTTCAGGGGCAGAGAAAGAAGGGTGGGGCAGTTAGGCGATGGATGGTAGGCTTGTGGCAATGTGCCCAGGGAGACAGCAGGTAATCCCATATGTTTGGAGGGCAGTGTGCTTACTTAGGAAGAGGTAATAGGACACAGCGCAGACTCAGTGACTATGCAAAAAAGTGGCACTTGATAGTTATGGAGGTCGTGGGGAGCCCTGGAAAGTTCTTGTGGAGGGGATGTGGTGACATGTCTTGGTTAGGCTTCTGTTTAGGAAGATGAGCTTGAACCAGGGAGGTGAATGAGAAGCAGATGTGATCTCGGGCCTGGGTCATTTTATGGCCTCCTGATGGCGCTTCCTGCTTCCTATTTGCCCCACAACAGTATATGCTCAGAAAGAAGCTGGAAGAATCTTTAAAAACTGAAATTACGTCACACATTTCTCTATTCAGAATCCTCCAGTGGCTCCTCATCTCCCTCAGAGTAAAGCCAAAGTTCTACCAGGTCCTCGATTCAATTAACTGTAGCCAAACTGGCCTCAGAGCTAGCTTGCCTCTGGCCTTTGGACTGGCTATTCCATCTTCCTGGAATTGTCCTGCACCTTCTCCTGTCGCCTTTATGAGAAGAGATGCCTTTTCTGATTGTCCTTATCCTTATCTCATGTACTCTTCTTTATATTTCATCTAAATACTTATCAACCTTAGGAAAATCGACCACATAACTTTATTCTTCATTGTCTGTTTTAAACACTGCTCCATTTAAGTAGGTGCTTGATAATTGTCGAATTAAGTCACTTCATCAGTCTTGCTGGGGGAAAAACTGAGGGTCCAAAACAGGTCAGGGATGGTACAGGATTAAAGTGTGTGTGTGTATATGGGGCGGGGCGAGGGGGCGGGGAGGAGAGGGAGAGGGTAAGGGAGGGAGAGAGAGATTGAGATTTATTTGAAAGGGAGTCAGACATAAAAAGACTTTCATGGTGGGCGAGCCAGGATTTGGAAGGCAATTCAGGGAGGTGTGGAGGAGGCGAGCAACATATACAAGTAGGTTGGTGCATCGTTTAACATTTGAGATGTTGGAGGCTGTAGTGGTGTCTAAGATGGTCCAGGGGACAAGAGTGTGGGGTGAGGGAAGACCCAGTAATAGACTTGAGCCTGGAACTGCCAAGATTCAAGAGAAC